GTACGAGTACTTCCAAGGGCATGTCTAAATGCGAAACCGATCAAATGTAGTTTCGGGATATTAAAAAACCAACGCCTTTTTCAAAAATAGAATACCTATCATAGTGCATACATGTTGGATGTATAAGTAGATCTAAAGAAGAGCCTTAAAATTGGCAAAATTCAAATGACGCAAGCATATCGTGCTAACAGCCGAAAATTGCTTAGTGGGTAAGGCGAATATAATGTGAGTAAAAAAGCAAGCAAGAATGGAACAGAGAGACTGCATCAAAATCCTTAGGCTGGGTTCATACTCATCCGTAAGTTCGGGAACAGTTCCAGCACAGCTGTGCAATCGAACGCTGTGCTGGAACTGTACCGGAACTAACGGATCAGCATGAACCCAGCCTCAGATGTGAAGCAAAGAAAAGTGTAAAACAGTTTTGTGTTCGCAACGACAAGAAACGCCCTCGGACACCATAGCTGCCTTCTGTCGCCATACAGGCAACTATGAACGCAGTCACATTTTCGAAAAAAAAGGACTGGGTTTGCTCAATGGGACTAGAGGGCATGACGACCCAAAGACCTAGACACTTGCAAAAAGATGAATTCAAATGCACCGACGCAACGAAACTTCTCAAATTATGATACTATAGTACCATTGCAAAAGTATTTAGGAATGTGTTGTATTGGATGTGAAGAAGAGGAAGATATGAGCGTAAAAGTAAGGGTACAGTCAAGGACTCACGAACAGCTGAACAGTAATGGATGAAAAACACACCATTTTATCGAATATGTCGCACAGTTCCATGTACTTGTCATTTGCTGTGATAGCTTCTTCTATTGTTTCAGCATTAGCGACTACTTCTAAAATAAGCCAGATGATTTCATACAAAATTCAACTGATACTGGGAAGCCTACCATTCTCCACATCATAAATATCAGAATCTTCCAGATCTTTAGGTTCTGCAAAGCATTTCAACACCTCTGACATCACTTTATCAACAGCCACATGTGAAGGCGCACATACTAGAGCCTAAACAACATTCAGCGGTACCGAAAACAAAAAATAAATTATGAAGAACCTTCTGCTTCTTCATATACAACTGCCGCACTATTTCC